GCTTTTTTCTTTTTGCTTATGTGGTGCTGAGGAATCAAACCCAGGGCCTCATGCATGCAAGGCAAGCACTCTATCACTGAGCCACCTTCCCAGCCCCAAGAAAAATAATTTTGAAGACATTTTTATGGAACAATTTTCTGCAATTAACCTATGCAGTGTCTCAAAATTGTTGAGGCATTTTTGTTTTCAAGGCTATCTTGTATGTGCTAACTCATTCATATTTCATAACTTCCAAGGAAGGCAGGACATTGATGGATAAGAAAATTGAGCAAGGAATGACAAAATGATTTTATTCAAAGACACATTTTTCATGCTAAATGAATAACAAGGACCCGTCCCTCTTAACTTTATGATACAACCTGGCATTAAATATACATGACATCCTTTCCAGTTCCACAAAGCACTAGCATGTGACTTTGGCAACTTTGGGTCCCTTAATTATAAGAAGGGAATAGTCATTTTCATTGCAGCTCAGCAATAGTAAATAAAGATTATGCAAGATATGGGATAATTCTGACCCTTGCTCCCTGGCAGCCATACACTGTTTCCCTTATGTGAAGAAACGGATCCCAGTCATGTATCAGCATCATACTGACCTGAACCCCATCGAAGTGGCCATCGATGAGATGAGTAAGAAGGTGGCCGAGCTACGGCAGCTGTGCTCCTCGGCAGAAGTAGACATGATCAAACTCCAGCTCAAACTCCAAGGCAGTGTGAGTGTTCAGGTGAGTAAAAGGCAGGGTTAAAGCCTCCCTTGCCCCCTGAAGCTTCCAAGACCTTCATTCAGCAAGGGTACCATGTGACTTCCTGGTTTGCCAGTTAATCCACATTTCCTTGCCTAGCATCTTTGTAGCTTCTCCTGATATCAACCAGAACTTTACCTACCATCCCACCCCACTCTTGTGGGCTGTTGACCTTTGATATGTCACTGTCACTAAGCTCTCTGCTGAAGCTCTCTGCTGGAAATTGTTCACCATAGGGGCCTAGTTGAAGGGCCTGAAAAGTAAGGTATTCTAAAAATAGGAACAGTAAATACTAGTAGGTTTTCCAGTAAAATTATTGACTATTTCTTTCTATGATAATTGTATCTGAAAAACTACGTTTCACGCTTAGTGATATTTTGACTAAAAATCATGCCTATAATCCTACCTGCATGGGAGGCTGAGATGAAGAAAGTTGCAATTCAGTACCAACCTGAACAGAACAATCCAGAAGACCTCTTCTTAGCCAGTATCTGAGCACACTAATGTACCTGCCATCCTAGCTATGTGGGAGGCAGAGACTGGGAAGATTATGGTTCCAGGTCATCCTACATTGAATCATGATTCTACATGGTAATGTGCACTTGTTATCCAGCTGAAACTGGAAGCATAAAATAGATCCACGTCCAGGCACACAGCTGGTGAGGAGTGAGACCCTAACTCAAAACAACCAGTACATAAAAGGGCTGAAGGTGGTTCAGTGGTAGCGCACACCTGACTAGAATGTACAAGGTCCTGAGTTCAAATTTCAGTACATCCAAAAAAGAGTAACTTGCTTTAGCATAGGCTGATCTATCAATTTTCCTTTACTGGTAGCATTTTTTGTATCATTTAGAGAAATACGTACCTACTCAAAAATTTCAAAGATGGCCAATGTTTTGCCTGCTCCATCCTTCACAGATCTATAATCCATGTGGGACTGATTTTGTTTGTGACATAGAGTAAGGGCCAAGATACATTTTTTTCATAGCACCACCCCAAATCCTAGGAGCCATCTATTGAAAAGATCAACTTTATCTACATACTGATTAACAAATGCATTCAGTCAGTGAAAACTCACCAAATTATTAAATATGGGCGCTTGTATATTATACCTCAATAAAAGGATTTTACAAAGTCATCTTTATAGGAGAGCTGGAAATGTAGCTCAGTAGAAGGGCACTTGCTTGACATATACAAGTGGTTTTGTCCCTCGCACTGAAAAAGCCAAAAATGTCATTTTATATATCTTATACAGTTTTAAGTGTATATAAGTAATTAAAGTACATATTTGTTGGTCTATATATCCCTGTATCTTATTTTTTAAGTAGAGTATATTTGTGGAGATTATATGCTATATAGATTCAGGATTTAGAGGTAATTTTCAGAAATCAGTTTTTGTCAGTGTTTCATCAGATCTACACTGAAAACACCATGAGATGTTGCCGAGATAGTTTCTAAATGTCATGGACCACAGAAGTAGTTACAGATATTTCTAGTCACCTCCCTTATATCCTGAAAGATGATGTGCTATAATAGTTCAACAAATGAATATAAATTTCCCAGGAAATTATTATACAACAGGACCAGAGACCATAGATTTCTGTAGTTAAAAACAGTAGGGGATCATTCAACCTCTATCAAAAGGCCAGCAAAGGGCAGGACCTGACAGGTTGAGTTTTAAAAGGCAAACATCCTTCCATTTCACAGTGACCTACAAGTTTTATAAAATACCCAATCATTGTATAGGACACAAGAGTTTCATGTTAAGAGATTAAGCTTCTACTTGTGCCCATACAAGTAATGACAAGGCTGAGATCAGAGGAAATTGTCACCTTGTTTGTGTGTTTCTGTAACTTTTTCACAAAAGGCTCACCAAGGTGTTGTTCTTCGGGGCAGAACTAGCTACATGGCTTTGGACACTGTGTCCCACAGTCTTGTTATATTAGGTCTTCCGTAGTTCTTCTGCTTTTTTTGGGGGGGGGTCGGTTGTGGGGCTTAAACTCTGGGCTTTGGCACTGTCCCTGCACTCTTCAGCTCAAGGCGAGCGCTGTACCGCTTGAGCCACAATGTCACTTCCAGTTTTCTAGTGGTTTTTGTTGGAGATAAGAGTCTCACGGACTTTCCTGCCCTGCTGGCTTTGAACCTCGATCCTTAGATCTCAGCCTCCTGAGTAGCTAGGATTACAGGCGTGAACCACTGGCGCCCAGGTCCTCTTTATATCTTTTTTTTTTGGGGGGGGGGTCCGGTCGTGAGGCCTGAACTCTGGGCCTGGACGCTGTCCCTCAGCTCTTCAGCTCAAGGCTAGCGCTCTACCATTTGAGCCACAGCGCCACTTCTGGCTTTTTTCTTATGTGGTGCTGAGGAATCAAACCCAGGGCCTCAGGCATGCAAGGCAAGCGCTCTACCACTGAGCTACCTTCCCAGCCCCTCTTTATATCTTTTTTAAATGACTACTTGTATCATTCTACATAGTTGATCTTTGTGGTATCTTCATGTTAACCTGGTTTCCACACATGCCTTGACTAATGCTGAGTCTGGTCCTCTATACTGGGCCATCATAGGAAGTACACTGGTTTCCTGTCTCAGGTCTCATCTCTAACCATTGTGGCTTCTACTTGCCTGTCTACACAAGTCCTGCATCCCATGGATCAGACCATTATATAGACTGCTCTCCTTGCTTTCCAGGCTCAACAGAACGCTAGGAAAAATACTTTGAGCACAGACTAGTCCTTGCTCAAGCTCTCACAGTCCTTCCCATCCCATCATATCCAGCCCTTTTTCTTTCCTTGTTCCTATATTTCCTGACTTACCAACTTCAGAAAATTCTTCTTAGCTAATTGAAAAAGAGATGTACATTTAGTTCATTCACATTGTTAATCTTTGATACCAGCACAACTCAAATAATTACTTCATCTGAAAATAGCAAATTAGCTGTATACCCAGTTCAGCAAGCTGAACCGTTAGGGGGATTTGGGTGGTAGTTATTATTCTTGTTGTCATTTCATGTACTGGGGTTTGAAATCAGGGCCTCCAACTTGCCAGACAGATGCTGTGCTACTTAAGTAATGCTCCCTTCCATATTTTGCTTTAGTTCTTCTTTAGATAGTCCTGTGCTTTTGGTCAAGGTCAGCCTTACATCACTATCCTTCTAGTTATGCCTACCACATATCTAAGATTACAGATGAGAACCACCACACTCAAGTACTGGTTGAGATTAATTGGATTTCACTAACTTTTTGCTCAGGCTAGCCTTGAATCCTGATTTTTCCCAACCTTGCCTCTCTAGTAGCTCACTATCATGCCTAGCCAACTGTTATATATTTAAAACTGGATGTAACCATATTTTTCCACTTTTCACTAAATTTATCTGGTGGATCTGATAATCACATGTCTCATAACACAAGTTTCATGGACTAAAACCCTGGTAGTAAGAGTCCTTGACATACAGATTTGGAAGACTTGGTGTTTGTGTATTGCATGGCCAAGCTTGATCAGGTCAAGTTCCCTAACATTAACAGTTTCTTCTTATATATTAAAAAACAAAAACAAAACTTCAGCAGGCACCAGTGGTTCATACCTGTAAACCTAGACACTCAGGAGTCTGAGATCTGAGGAGCATGGTTTGAAGCCAGCCCAGTAAGACTCTTATCTCCAGCTAATCATAGAAAAAAGCTGGAAGTGGAGCTGTGGCACAAGTGATGGAGTACTAACATTGAACAAAAGAACTCTGGGACACTGCCCAGAGTTCAAATCCCAAGACTGGCGCGTGCGCACACACACACACACACACACACACACACACACACACACCTTCATCACAGCTCACACACACACACACACACACACACACCTTCATCACAGCTACCCTGAGGATGGCCTCAGGGATGATGGGATCAGGGACAGATCACAATTTATACTTTCCACTGGGCTTTTAAGCTCCTGGAAGATAAGGTTTATGACTAACTCACACAAACAGTGTTTTTAGCACAGACCAACTGAAACTAAACAATACTGATCAATTCTCTCTAACTTAAAATCTTTACTCTTTATCTAGGTCAATGCTGGTCCACTAGCATATGCTCGAGCCTTCTTAGATGATACAAACACGAAAAGATATCCTGACAATAAAGTGAAGTTGCTAAAGGAAGTTTTCAGGTAAAGCACACTGAAATGTCTCTTCACATTCTTTGTGTGTTAGTCAGCTTTCTGTTACTCTGACAGATCGTTGAGATAATTGACTTATAAAGAAAAAAATGTTTATTTTTGACTCAAGTTTTGGAAATTTGGAGATTGCAATGTGTGATCAACTAGCCCCATTGGTTTTAGGCCTGTGGAAAGGTAGGATTATTTGGCAGAGCAGAATCACTTAGCTTGTGACAGGAAGCAAAAAGGTGAGGAATTCATGAGTTCCAAGGTTTTTCACCTAGGGGATGACCTAGACAACCCCTGCTAGGCCCCACCTTCTAAAGACTCCACCACCTTTCATAATGCCAACTAGGGGACCCAGGTCTTTATCTATGGAGCCTTGATGGTATTGAAGGTTTTAACTCTAGCTCTGTTACTTACTCAGAAAAGAAGTGCTGTTAAGACTCATCCTTTGTTTCCTGCATGTCTTTATCTCTCTCTCTCTCTCTCTCTCTCTCTCTCTCTCTCTCTCTCTCTCTCTCTCTCTCTCT